TTGAAGCCCAAAAATACGGTGAAAGTGACCTGTTCCTGGCTCGCCGAACAATATTACCCCTTTTGGAGCTGTAATACCCATTTCTTCGTAATATTCAGGATGAACAAGCGGCAGCTCAACCGTTTCTTTTATTTCTTGAATCTGTTCTTCAAGCCCACCAATATCCTGCAAAAATTTTTTCCACAGCTTTCAACTGAGTCATCCGAAACCACTGCCTTATCTTGTTTTCTTCTCCTTTTCCTCCTCTGTACCCTATTCCCTGCGAGGTAATTCATGGAGCCTCGAAGAGTTTATACGATGCAGATCTCTTACAACAAATAGATACTTCACGTGCTCACCTCAAATGAAGGGCGCCAGTGTGCGTTATGGACATGGGCTTTACTGAAGTCAAAACACTTCATGTAGGTTTTGCTAACCTTATGCGTCTTCAAATTTCCATAAGAATCTAAACTTATATATCAAAAGTCAAAACCTTCGTATTCATTCTGTATGAGAGGCGGAGGCACTCGGAAGTATTTCGAGAGTAGTAAATGCAAATAGCAAGAATTCGTTGAATAAGGCCATCGATGGCTCCCTTTTCCTATGATGGAAATAAATAAAAACGAACATCGAATGATTCTTTGGGCGGTTTCTCGAGTTTGTTAATGATTGAACTGGCTGCGTCCACACTGTCATGCAGGACACCAACAATAGCTGCCGGAACATTTTTTAGCGATCCTTGCGCTTTGACCATTACCAGTGCACCAATTCGTATCAGATCCTTATCAACAATGGATAATATTGGCACGTACCATTCACGCTTATTACCTTCGATGACCACTACCGCATGCTGCAAATTCTCCTTTCCGTATGCTGACTGTTCAGTGGGCGTGTAAATGCTAATTTTCAATGGTTTGACTTCTTGTTACATTTGCTCTCTATTCTGGTTTTCAGAGAAAATATTTGAATAGTCATCCATTTTAGATAAAAACATTTTTTAGATGATTTTTTTGGTAGAAAAAGGATTCTGAAATTCTTTTGACTGACTATGCGTTTTTGCACATATGCAAATGCAAAAACGCATATCCCGGACGACCCCGGGTGTGTGTATGTGTGCGTGTATATGTGTGTGTGCGCTTGTTCGGGTGTTTTAACTCGGCAGCCAGGAAATTTCCGCACTGAAATTTTGCCAGTGAGTACCCCGCCAAGTGCCGCCCCAGGACCGCGGTACCAACCATCATGCACGTTTGAACCTCGAGTACGAGCACATGGAAGTTTTGGCGGTAAAATCGCTAATTCAGGAACCAGAAAAGCTGGGAGGCTGAAATTTTAAAAGGATGTCCTCTATCAAAGTACCAGTTGATTGCACAATTAACTTCCTGAATCAGTAGGTCAAAAATTCTAGCTACTCCAAGCGATCTCACTACAACAAGAAATACTACAAAAAAAA